TCAATCATTTGGAAGAGTCTAACCTATCAATGAAAAGAATCAGATTATCATTGTTCAATGAATGTATTTATGTTTTGTTATTTTTCAGGATTTCAACATGGAGTAAGATTTATGTTTTATTATTGAGAATTAAGGATTTGATTATTGTTTTGATCGATAATCCTATTATGTTCTTCTATCACCGTATTCGTAGAGTTGGGTGGCCAAGTTTGATCTCAAACTGATTGGATCGAAGCTTTCTACCATGCATTGGATTTAGATACCAAAAGAAGAAGTGGAAGAAAACTATGGTTTATTAACAATAACAAGTGATGAATGTATTACTGTGAATAAAATTTTCAGGGATACGAACTTGATGAAGAAGAGCATTGCATTATACGCCATACAAAACAACTTCCAGTTTAGTGTTTGCAAGTCTGATCTGTACATAATATATAAAATGCATCCTGAACTTCGATGATCTACGCGAGCTGGAAGAAATGGTGACCTTGGCTGAGGATACTCAAGTTCTAATCAGTTCCTTGCATTGGGAGGACCATCATATGTTGAGCTTGTGATCGCAAATTCCGAGAGAAAAACTGTTTTAAGAATCAAATCCAGCAAACTCCAAATAGAAATTCCTTTTACCCGAAAAGCAATTAAAAGTAATATCATTATGCACTAGGATTGACACTGCCATCAAACAGCAACTACTAGAAAATTAGCATCGAGAATATATATGCAGGGAAGAGAGCAGACAATTACGGCAAATAACAAGTCATATTATAGCACTCAGATACACCTACGCACAAATAGATTGGTAGCAAACCAGTGCACCATTCAAACACAGGCAATGTGAGTGCATGCTTCGTATAACAAGGAATGTGCCCACAAATGAAGGAAATTCCTGTGTAAAATCTGAAATGACATGTTCACTTTTTCGACAGACGAGATTAAATGGACATTAAAAAAATGTTAAAACTTCCTCGTAGATATGGTTTCATCTGCTTCCCTCCTCGTCTTATATCATGGTTTGGCCCCATAAAATCATTTTATCCATTCTCACAACTTGCTACTTGATATCACAAAATATGCAACAAAGTCGTATAATAAATGTTTCAACACAGAGCTATGGAAGGGGTAAACATAAAGAGACATTTATAAATGTACGAGCAGGGCCGGTCCTGTGATCGGCG